TGTACAATACTTGCAGGCCAGAACATAATCATTCTGTACAATACTTGCAGGCCAGAACATAATCATTCTGTACAATACTTGCAGGCCAGAACATAATCATTCTGTACAATACTTGCAGGCCAGAACATAATCATTCTGTACAATACTTGCAGGCCAGAACATAATCATTCTGTACAATACTTGCAGGCCAGAACATAATCATTCTGTACAAAACTTGCAGGCCAGAACATAATCATTATGTACAATACTTGCAGGCCAGAACATAATCATTCTGTACAATACTTGCAGGCCAGAACATAATCATTCTGTACAATACTTGCAGGCCAGAACATAATCATTCTGTACAATACTTGCAGGCCAGAACATAATCATTCTGTACAATACTTGCAGGCCAGAACAAAAGTTCCGGGGATACAAAAAAAGGACGAAAAACGAAGTTTAGTATTCCATGTTAATCATGGGTGAGTGGTGTGCAACGCATAAACACACAAAAAAAAAGACAACCAATATTGGTATTTACTAAAAAAAAAAAGATATGAAAGAAGGCGACGTTAGCAAAAGTATAGTGACGTCAGACGTCGTGCGTAAACAGCCGAATCTCACACACTTAGCAGCAAAAAAGGTTAGTGAGATTTGTGAAACTGACCTTTGGCTTTCAAGATATTATCAATGGTTAGCTTGGAATTGCTGCATCCAATCAAGAGAATCGCTTTCAAACGCTCATCAATCAATTTCGTTCGATGTGTTGACAAGCAATTCAATCAATCAACAAGAATATCTAGATACAATAATTTAAAAGTTAAAAGTTTAAAATGATAAATTTGAGGCGCATAGCAACCAGGAGATCTCCACACGTGTGAAGATGTCCTAGAATTCTAAACATAATATTTAAATTTCAATTGTAACACTACTTCGCGAGTTCCATATGTTTTATCAAGCAAGTTCAAGTGCCGTCGGCGGGCCTGGTGAACTGGTGTCTCGGGCCGTGGTTTGGTGACCCCTGATCTAAACCCTAATGGACGACCACCGTGTTAACTTAATCCCGCTGAAAAGATGACGCCTCTACCGTTTACTGTAAAAGTCCTGGTATTGCTAAATGACAAAGACTTAATGAATGAGCCACTGATGCCTTCAGCTTCAAAGTGGTGCCACCGACTTACACTCCTTTCTCTAGCTTAGATAGATAAGTGTGTTCTGTTTATACATTACCATAGCTGCTAACTGTTTCCTTTGGCATACTGACTTAACGTTCTCATAACGGACATGTTGGCGTGTTCTCATAACAGCTGCCAAAAATTATGTACAGTCGTTCAAAGTGGTTGGACTGATCGGTACTTCACTCAGTAGGTTAGCCATACCGGTCTCTTCCGTCTTGAGTACCATGTTAATACCTCTGATAAGCTACTGGGCCACTGACGATCGGCTCAACGATAAGGTATGTACGCACTGGTCTTAACTTTACCTGAAAAGTTATTGAGCACAATAGTGTTTTTTTTTCTATTTACGACTACAACATGACAGGACAAAGTAAAAGACTTAAGCTATTTTTGATAGCTAAAAATGTTTTAAGCAACAGTGTTTAAATGTAGGGTCAAAAAAGGAAAATGAAGAGTGAAATCTGAACAAAATCTCTTCTAGAATTGGACTTAAATGATAATGTATTCGTCTGCATTGCTCTAGTATATCTACAATGTCCCTCAGTGACACTTTTCTTCATTTATCGGTCTAGTACAACTACACTATCACTCAGAGATATTTTCTTCAGCTCCTATTGTTCTAGTGCATCTTCACTGTCCCTGGCGATACTTTCTTCAGCTTCTACTGGTCTACTACATCTACAATGTCCCTCGGTGATACTTTCTTTAGCTTCTATTGGTCTACTACATCTACAATGTCCCTCAGTGATACTTTCTTTAGCTTCTATTGGTCTACTACATCTACAATGTCCCTCAGTGATACTTTCTTTAGCTTCTATTGGTCTACTACATCTACAATGTCCCTCAGTGATACTTTCTTTAGCTTCTACTGGTCTACTACATCTACAATGTCCCTCAGTGATACTTTCTTTAGCTTCTATTGGTCTACTACATCTACAATGTCCCTCAGTGATACTTTCTTTAGCTTCTATTGGTCTACTACATCTACAATGTCCCTCAGTGATACTTTCTTTAGCTTCTACTGGTCTACTACATCTACAATGTCCCTCAGTGATACTTTCTTTAGCTTCTATTGGTCTTCTACATCTACAATGTCCCTCAGTGATACTTTGTTTAGCTTCTACTGGTCTACTACATCTACAATATCCCTCAGTGATACTTTCTTTAGCTTCTATTGGTCTACTACATCTACAATGTCCCTCAGTGATACTTTCTTTAGCTTCTATTGGTCTTCTACATCTACAATGTCCCTCAGTGATACTTTCTTGAGCTTCTACTGGTCTACTACATCTACAATGTCCCTCGGTGATACTTTCTTTAGCTTCTATTGGTCTACTACATCTACAATGTCCCTCGGTGATACTTTCTTTAGCTTCTATTGGTCTTCTACATCTACAATGTCCCTCAGTGATACTTTCTTTAGCTTCTATTGGTCTTCTACATCTACAATGTCCCTCAGTGATACTTTCTTTAGCTTCTACTGGTCTACTACATCTACAATGTCCCTCAGTGATACTTTCTCAGCTCCTATGATATGAATCGGCTTTTTATTTCATTTAATGGGTTTTCTTCTTTCTTTTTATTACAATGAGTTTTTTAGCGTCTCTGGTCCATTTTAACGTAACTGACAACAAGCGACCATTCCAAAAGTCAAACAAATTAATTTAATCTTGTATATACATATA